CTCATCGTCCTCACATCACTCGTTAGAACAGCTCATTAAATGGCATTTCTTCCTCTTCATCCAATAATTGTACAAGTATTTCGTATTTGTTTTGATTACTAGAATTCCGTCAATGAAAATATAAAAGCAATATATCACATTGCATTACAGTTGTGTAAAAAGATAAATTAAACACCGTAAAAAAGTAGGTGAAGTAACTTACTGATGACGTTTCGGACGTTAATCCTTCGTAACTTTTAATCCTTCGTCAGTAAGTACTTCACCTACTTTTTTGCGGTGTTTAATTTATCTTTTTACACAACTGTTTCTTTAGAAACACCGACGCAGCTCACACTAGTTTAGCGCTAGTTCCCACCATTTATCATTGGCAAGCAAAGCTTTATGAACATTTTGTAGAAGTTAGTTGGAACTATAGGTATTGCTACGATTATAGCACGTTCTATATCTCATGCTGCAAAGCAATAGTCTATTCAGTGATTTCATCTATTCACTCATCTCGTTCCATTTCTCTATTGTCATTTRCTGACCTTGTGGGGTCTGGAGCGAGACATCTGCAAGGGGAATATCATGCAAACTATAACATAAAACCGATCAGTCCTTTACATTCGTTGATGAGAAATGGAACACTTTAGTAGATCAAGTTTCACTCCCAACCAAACTTTTATAAAAGTTTTACTGCGCTAATGGATGCTCCATCTCGTGCAGGCGTCGATACCAGTTCCTTATTCCTTAACCTTAGGTCCTTCTTTGTGTTCAGAACAATTGCTCTTGTGACTCTTACAATTATTCTCATTTGGACACCTAATTATTGTAAGCCATTTGTCAAGGTATAGTTATAACTAATGTCCTTTATTCAATAAATGACACTAAAATTTGTTTTGTCTGGTGAACATTTTGACCTTTTAAAGACCTATCCACGTAAATGGACATTTGCGATCTAAAATAAACCCAAACCAACACATATTTTGAAAAGAGCAGCAAAGAAGCTTTCAGCACTAACTGCCATTATCTCATTCATGACACCTCCTTCACAAATGAAGTTGTTAAGGCACTAATAATAAATAGACACCAAAAACTTCGCCATTAGAGTGGAGTAGAGTATCACTTGTGATAATGGATCGTTTAACTAGAGAGGTTTTCGTTAACCTGTGAAATACACTTTTGCGTACTACACTTTATTACTCTTTATTTTATACGTTTTTCTTTTTTTTTCGGTGTATCACACAGTATTCTGGTGGAAACATGGGCTCGCGGAGATAAAATTCGTATCTCCAAGCGACCATGTAAGATTTTGTTTATCATTTTGTTTGTCATTTATATAACTATATTTGAAAGCAGATCATGTCGTATAATACATTTTTTTACTTTCAATATATAGAGCAGCCTTGAACGTGCTATTTTTACTGGTGAAAATAACAACTTTTCGAAAGAGATAATGTAGTTATTTCATAGAATAATTATATAATAATATAATAATCATGTAGTAGATTTGTTCTTTGCTGCTGTCATGATGCAACGAATACTCATAATTCATGTGTAAGCGTAAGATATTTAAACAAAAGAAATCGGCCGTCAATTTAGACAATAATCTGCCTCTACTAATAAAATAAAACAACCATTGTCTATTTCTGTGGGTTTGTCTGCCTGTCTGCCTGAGAGTTTGACACTCCATATTAGCGTTATTAAAAATAGCGAAACTGACTACTGACTAAAACAACTTTGGGACTCTGATTATTCGCAGGTACTTCACTTCAAGCAACAGTGAAACCCTTATTTTATTTTTTTTTTTTTTTTTTTTTTTATGAAAAAAGGTTTTTGAGAGATTATGGTAAACAATATCGATTATTGTTTTACTAAACATCTTTGATTATTGCCTGTCTTTCTTTACTATTT